TCTACCAAGGTCCATTTTTGGTACCAGAGAATCCCATAAGCAAGCACTAATGGGATCTGAATTTGGATTGCTGTGCCTGTCAACACACATCCTTGTTAAGTATTTTTATCCTTGTTATCCAGTAAGAGAAGGGTTTTTTTGTTTGTTTTTGCTGTCTCACTGACTCAGTCTCAAAAAATCCTGTCCTTGCCCTTAGGATCAGCTTGTACCTGGCCCAGAACAATAACCTATATGCCCCCTTTCATCTCAAGCTTCACTATCTTCTGCCATAAATCCTCCACAAGGAGTTAATCTAACATGTTAGGAACCTCTCAAGCTATTCACTATATAGGTGTGTATGTAAATATTACTGATATTAATTCGTTCATCTAAGAGGAATAAAATAATACCAACATTAAATGTACATGTAATGAATGTCATAGTTCTAATTACTTAACAGAAAAGCATATTCAACTTCGAAGACTTAAATACTAAGACAATTTTTCAAATCACTGATTATAAGATAAATTAAAATCAAAACAATCCTGAGCTTCCACCACACTTTCAGAAAACTGGCAAGGTGAAAAAAGATTGAGATGGTCAATGTCTGGGGGTTGTGAAAAGATATGACACGCTAATTTGTTGTTGGTGAAATTGTGAATTAGTACAAATGAGTACAAAACAATTTGGAATTATGCAAATAAAGTGGCTAAAATTCCATACCCTTTGACCCAAATATTCCACTAGTAGGTTTATACTCCAATGAGGTCAGTAGGTACATACTCTAATGAGGTCATTGACAAAAAGAAAGGCTCTGAAAACACTAAAATATTTATAACAGCACATTTTGTGTACTTTGTGTACATTTCCAGCAAAGAGCTAGAAACAAACTAGAGGCCTACTCCAGGTTTGGGGAATGGGTAAACAAATTCATTACATGAATGTAATGAAATGCTACTATGCTGCTTAAGAAACAACAAAATGATGAATATGTAAAAGCTTGGAAAGACGTATGCAAAGTGAAGCAAGCAGAACCAATAAAACAATGTTACACAATGACAACAACGCAAATGGAAAGAACCAGCACAGCAAAATAATCAAAAATGAAGGTTGTGAATTATAAAGAACAAGCCTGATGCCAAAGAAATCAAGTCAAGTCAACAAGCATTTAGTAAGTATCTACTATGTGCCAGTCACCCTCCTGCTACGTACTGGAAATACAAAGAAAGGCAAAAAAGAATCCCTGATCTCCAGGAGGTCACAGTCTAATGGGAGAGACAACACGCAAACAACTATATATAAACAGGATATATACAGGATAAATTGGACATAATCTCGGAGGAAAGCACTATGAGTAAGGACTGAGAAAGGCTTCTTGAAGAAGGTGGGACTTTAGCTGAGACTTAAAGGAAGCCAGGGATGAAGAGATAAGAAAGACATCTCTTCCTATTTCCTCTGCATAAGTTGAGGAGGGGAGTCCACAAATGTAAAGCACTGCATATAATGTCAGATTTTTTTCTGATGTACTGATTGGCTTTAATTTTTTTTCTTCCTCTATTTTTACAAAATATTTGTCAGATGGGAGAGCTTCCTGGAAGGAGGAGGGTAAAAAATAAAAGGAAAAATCTAGAGGATGTAAAAACAAAATCTATCAATTAAAATCTATACTTTAAAAAGACAATAATTTCGCGTTACTTCAGTTCACCTCTATAAAAACTGGCAAATCTGAGAGAAAGAAAAACAAGAAGGAAATTATGGATCTGAATAGACTTTTACAGATTAGTGAACAGAAATCTTAAGAACAATATATATTTTTAGTCTCATATGACACCTTTACAAAAATGATCATGTGCTAATAACACAAAAATAAATTCAGAAAATTGTGATAGAGATTCAGGGCTTTTTTATTTTTTGCTTTGTATATGAAAATGATCATTTTACCTGGTGCTAATTATAAGTTCAGAATTTAAAAATGAGCAAATAATCGCAAGACCAGAAATTTTAAATATATACTTTACAAATCATAATGTGATACAATTTTAAAAATAAATAAGAACAGAAAGATGGAGTCAAATTAATGCTATCTACATAATGAGAGTAAAGAACAAATCGTAGAAACAATGAATATTTTAAAAGAAAATTATGACAATGAGAAAACATACCAAAATTTCTGGGATGAAGTCAAAGTAGTCCCTAGAGAAAAACTGATCTCTCTGAACACTTATACTGCCGGGAAAGAGAGAAGACAAATGAAATAAGCATTCATTTTTCTAAAATTAGAAAACAACAAACTGATGATCCTAAAGTAAGTACAAAAGTAGAAAACTTGAAAGTCAAAGGAAGCTAAACAAAGTTCAAAACAAGGACTAACCCTGAATTTTTGAGAGGGAAGAAACCAAACAACAAAGCTGATAAACCAAAAGCTAATTTGAACAAGAAAGAAAAATTAAATTACCAAGCTTAAAAATAAACATAGGGAATTCATTAACAATGAATTGAAAGGAAATAAAGTTACCTGAATATATCAATTTCAACATATTAAACAACACTAACTGACATCTACATAGTGCTTTAAAGTTTAAATGTAAAGTACTTTTATACTATTTCATTTGATCCTCACCATAACCCTATGAGATAGGTATCAATGAGGAAATTAAGGCTCAGAGAGATTAAATGACCTGCCCATTGCCACACATAGAGTAAGCATCAGGGACAGTATTTGAACCCAGGTTTTCCTGACTCCGTTTCTAAAACTTTATTGTACTACATCATTTCTTTTGTCCCCTTTAATTTTCTTTCTGCAAACTAATCACTCTATATACTTATGAAACTATTTTTCTATTCACACATTTGTAGTCAATGTACATCTTGTCTTCAAGTTGCTTTCTTCATTTCATGTTGCTTCACATGGATCTTTTTTATATTCCTCATTCTGCTTTCTCCCTGGGTTTTGATGATACTGCTCTGCTATGGTTTCCTTTCTACCTCTCTGACCAATTTATCTTAGCTTCATCTTTGTCTGGTTCTTTCCTGGGCGTAGACATAACTCAGAACTTTGTCCTAAGTCCTCTTCTTTTCTTTCCCTATACTCTTAGTGATCTTATCAGCAACCATGAGTTTAATTATCAACTCTATGCAAATAATTCCAAAATCTATATATCTAGACCTCATCTCTCTTCAGATATCCACTTCTATCTCAAACTCAACATAATTAAAACAGAATTCATTTTCTTTTCTCCCAAATCTCTGACTCTTTTAAAGTACTTCATTGGTATTAATGGTACCACCATCCTTCTAGGACTCCAATTTGCAACCTCAGAGTCACCCTGAATTCTTTACTCTCTCATCCCTTAAATAAAATCAGCTGCCAAGTCTCATGGATTCTGCCTTCTCAGTATCGCCACCCCATCCTCTACATATAGATGGTAAACACCCTCATTCGGGCCCTCATCACCTGTCCCCTGGACTATTGTAACAACCTCCTAATTGGACTCCCTGCTTTTAGTCTCTTTCTTCTCCAATTTATCCTCCTTACAGCTGCTAAACTGATTCTACTACAGGACAGGAAGCACAGGTCTAATTCTGGCACTCCTTGAGGCTTCCATGGCTGTCCACTGCCACCAGGATAAAAATCAAATATTGAAACCCCTCACAATATTCCTCAATTCCTTCTTTCCAGGGTGATTTAAATATCATTTCATCTCACACACATTATGCTTGTCAAACTGACCTATATAATGTACACTGCATCTACAATTTTCTCCCACTTCACCACCATCCCTTAAAATTCCAAGATCCCTTGAAGGTTCAGCTCAGGTATCACCTTTTTTCAAGAGGGCTTTCCTGATTCTCCCAGCTGTAAATCCTCTCCCACTCTGCCCCACACTCAGTCGCTTTTTATGTTTTAATATATTCTCTATTTTCTCACCTTTGGACATACTGTATTCATCCTCCCACCTGGCCTCCTAAGCAGAATTATAAGCTCTCTGAGGGCAAGAACTGTCTTGATTTTATAAATTTATCCCTAGCACTTAACAGAGTGTCTGATATAGAGCAGAGGCCTAAAAAATGCTTGTCAATTGATCAGCTCAACAGTTATTAATATTTATAGCATTTCATTATGTTGACAGGTTACAATTTATTTAGCTGTTCCCCTGGACATGTAGACAATTCACTTCTCTCCAGTTCTTTGCAATAACAAATTGTTGTTATTTGTCCTTCATTCCTGAAGAGCACTAATGACATTGGGAAGGTGATGTCTTGACTCACAAGTAAATTGGATTTAAGTGAGGCAGGGTTGTGCAAAGTCACCAGCCTCACGCTCTCCTCCAGAGCCATCTGGGTCCAGTGGCAAGCTATAGATCAGGACAGACGAAGATGGCCCCGGATGCAGCAGGATGCCTTGGCCTTTTTAAGCTAAGGTCTTTTCCAGGTCTGAGTTTATCTGAGACAATACCATTTAGTGATTAAGGTCAGCTGTGCAGTAACAAATAATGACATTATAAAGATATTTGGCCAGATCGCCTTTTTTTTTTTAAGTATTCTCAGGTATATTTCTAGTATCTCCCACACCTCCCATTCATCAGAGCGCAGTCTACATATATATATATATATATATATATACACATATATATATTCTCTTGAGGCCTCTTAAGACAACAGCCTTAATAATTACTGCAGTAATACCAGTTAACAGCAAGCAGTAGAATGAACTAGCTGAGAGTTAAGGTTTCCACTGAATCTTCAAGTTTGAAGGGGTCACTCAATCAAATCCTAACCTTAAACATGAATTCCACCTACAACATTCTTAACTTCTGCCTAAGGATTTCCAGGGAAATTACTAGTTAATAAGGCAGCCCATTCCATCACTAGGTAACCCTAAATCTTAGGAAATTTTTGTCCTTATATTAACTAAAACCTGCTTCTCTGCAACTTAACAATCGCAGGTCTTCACTCTCCCCATTAGGGCCAAGCAAAACTAGTTAATCCCTTGTCCAAATGACCATCCACCAGAATCTTACCTGCAATTCCAATGAAGACGGTCAAGCCAAAACAAATGAAGAACACCACAAAGACCAGGACGAAGTGGCGCTTGGACAGGGTGTACAATCGCATGGGTGCCAACCTATAAAAAGCCAAAGGTAGCGAGTCAAGCCATGAGTGGTGTGCATACAGGGAAACTGCACACAAAGACAATAATAAAGACCAACCACACCTCAAACACAAGAAGTGTTTTGTTATCAGCAAGAAGCTGATATAAAGGGCTTCAGTCAGTGAAATCTCAACACAAGGGGGCTTACATAATATTCTCTGGCAGAAAAGAATACAAGATGTCCCAAAAAGAGTGCAGTTTTAAGCTGCTGAAGCTTAAAACTGCGCTAAGATTTCTGGGACACCCTGCTATAAACTGACCCCTCTTACATGAAGCTAATGTTATTTCTTTAAGTACTAAATCAAATGTTCAATGCAAAACCGTCCAACTATTTTGAAGTTTATTTAAGGAAGGAAAACCCATTTCTTCCAGGGGAAAAAATTACATTATAGATCAAATGTCAAACTCTATCATTATGACCTCTGACAAAGAGAACAAAATAAAAGAGCCTCCCTCATGTATGTGGACACCATATCTTGAGATAAAGGGCACTGGGGTGTTACTGAAGCTTGTGGTCCCCTTACTACCTGCCTCATAAGGGTACGGGGAGGAAACACCTTGTAAGACTTAGAGTGCTATGAAATCAATGTGAACTGCTGTTACCTTAATCCTCAGAGATCACAAGATAATGCTTCCACACAAATGCAACTAACTCCCATGTAAGAAAGGGCTCATAGCTTTGCTGCTTGGTGGGCAGACTAATTCCTAATTTTCTGTTATTATTCTCTGCAAAATTATTTTTAAATTAAAGGTATTTGGTTTAGTCCTTCACAATTTAGGTCACTTCTCTTCCATTTCCTCACCGACGACGTTACTTTGGAGTCTTAGGAACTGTCCTCTATAAGATAATAAGTCCTAAGTTCTACTGGAGGAGTGTGGGTGAGGGGATGAACTCTTTCCAAGGCAGCTGACTGAATACTTCACTGGAGGAATTTAAATAATGACATTCTTGCTGTGTGTAAACCAGTCTAAATATCAGTGGATGAAAGGACTTTTTAAAAGGACAAAGCACTTAACAGCAAAAATCAATACCTGGCAAGAGTTCTAAAAAGTAAGCATGAGACTAGGGACCAAGAAGTCCTTCACCAACCCTCTTACCTACTTGTTCACTTCCTTTGGTCAGGCCAAACCGGCCGACTTGCTATTGCCCCACACGGGACATCCCATCTCCCACCTGGAGAGCCTTTCCAGAGGTTATAAAATTCTGGCCTAACTGAAATCCCTCTTCCCTCTGTTCTTCAGAATCCCTAGTTCCTTCAAAACTTAGATCATGGCCACTTCTAGCTAGACCCCCATTTTCCATGCCCCAGTGGCTATCGCACTCTATCCCCAATTTTCCAAAGCAGTGACATTTTATTCATAAGTTGCATCCGTGTATTGTTTTCTTCCCTAGACTTTTTCTCTCTTCCTTCCACCTCAGAATATAAGCTCCTTGAGGTCAGGAACTGTTGGTTTTTGTTTTGTATGCTAAATGAATTTTCTCATTTCTGTCTCAGGGAAACTAAGAATTTGACAGAGTCCAACTGTCTCTAACTAGCTGGGGGGAAACTGCCAATTTGAGGGGCAAAAGGAAAAGAGAATAAAAGGAAAACTAGTAATAGAAGAAGAAAGTGGAAGATATGGGGGGAGAGAAGGAAAATAGGAATGAGAAATATGCAAGAGTAAGAGATTATAAATTAGGTTTAAAAAATATTCAACTCATTCCTGATGTATGAATATTTCTGCATTAAGATAAGTTGTATTTGGTTGGGAAATAACTTGGAGGCACCAAGATTTTGAGGTCCCATATCCACTCACAAGGTTTCCTGCCACTCCCCACCCATTAACCCCACCCGTTCAAACAGATAAGGTCCATGAATATAAACCTCCACAAATCCAAGTGCCCTGAGCCTGCTAGGTGGCTCAGGAAATAAGGTAGTGGTTCTGAACAAACAGGGAAGTTCCTACAGTAATTCTGGAATCCAAACCAATCAAGATTACATAGTTGACATGGTCTGGAGAAAACTTCTAACAAAACACCTCCATTCTTCTAAAGTAACTTTTTTAAAGCATGGCTCTTCTTATAGAAAATACTCTGCTTGTTTTAAAATGTGTCTGATTTTGGAATCTGATAGGAGAATGAACAGAAAATAAATCAGCAGAGAAAAGGCTACCTTAATCAAGAGCAAGCCCAGCTCCACATTCTCAAACTCTCTTCCTATTCATTCCTACAGTGCTACTAAAAATAAGTTGGCAGTAATTTTTTTGGTTTTGTTTGTTTGTTTTGTCCTGTTTTGTTTTTGCCAGAGAAGTCTATAGTTAGTCAATCAATAAAAATTTATTCAGTGTTTACTATGCCCCAAGTACAGCTGAGAAAGGGGACAAATAAACCTAAAGTAATTTGTAAGGGCAGCTTTTGAACAAGAACTCTTTTAAGCATGGGCTCTTAACTAGGGTCCAAGGGGTCTGTGAACCTTTTTTTTTAAATATTCTATTTTTAAAATATTCTAATAACTATTTCATTATTAATGTTTCCTTTGTAATCCAATGTATTTTATTTTATTTTATGCATTTAAGACCATTACTCTGAGAAAGGGCCCATAGGTTTCTCCAGCCTGCCAAAGGGGTTTATGACGTAAAAAAAGGTTAAGAATACATGCTTTAGCCTCAGTGATACTAAGGTACAATAGCTCTCCTAATTGGAAGAATGGGTTTTGTTGACACTTTCAGGCACATGCAATTGCTTATCAATGACTTCAAGGTTTCACTGGCAAGCATATATGTATGTGTGTACCTGTATATGTATGTATGTATATGTCTGCACGCACACACACACACATACACTAACCCAATCTTTTTACTGAGGGAGAAGACTGAAGAGGCTGTTTACTAATGAAGGTAGAGTGTGTCACCCCTAGATTTGTTTATTCTGTGGTTCATACTGACTAGAAGGTACCCTTTCTGACATTTTCCCTTAGCAGGGCCCCAGGATTTAGACTTAACAGCCTGCTTTACTTTGTGCCTAGATTTCTATTGTACAAAATAAAAAAAAAATCCGTGGTTGAGAAAGCTAAGAGAACTCCTACACAACTGACAAGTAACAAAAATCTCTGTCCTCCCAGCCCATGAGATTAACATGATTTGATCACAGAAGAAGAATTTATTTACTTTCCTGGTATCTCTCCCTGGGAGAGAACCAGGTTGTCCAAGGTGAGCAAAGTCTGTAGGTAAACATGAGTTTTGCCATCCTGCTGCTGGACTTTACTGTTGGTGCTGACAGATTTTGCCAGCTCTAGATACTCTTCTAACCATGTGTTTCAAATACAGAGTGAGGCTTAAACTTTACTATTAGAAAATTAAGGAAATGATAAAAGTTGCTAGCTTGGGTGAAAATCAAAAGCAATTCAATTGACCTCATTTTTAAGACTTCAATTTTAAATGTCACAAAACACAGGAAGTTACAAAACCTCATAAGAAGCACAGGATGTTAGAATCCAGCTCCTTCATTTTACAGGTGAAGAAACTAAGGCTTTGAGGTGACTTGCCCAAGGTCAAACATTAACAAAGCTGGGATTAAGACCTAGAAAACTACTGTTGTCAAACATTGCCACTTATTTCTAAGAAAATGGCTGAGAAGCAGAATAGGTCCTTTCAGATGAGTTCACAGGATCATAAATTGACAACTGGAAGGGACCTTAAAGGTCATCTAGTTCAAATGTCTCATTTTACAGATGAGGAAACTGAGTCCCAAAAAGGTTAAATGACTTGCTCCAGTATCTTAGAGGTAGTAAACAGAAGAACTGGAATTTGAACTGAGGAACTCAAAATCTTACACTCCATTCCACTGCACTATACATAGATGGAAATGATCAAGTTAAGGGAGCTTGACATCAAATAATTTCCAAGGGGAAAAGGAATGGTTAGTAGAACTTGGCCATCTACCCCAGCCACCTCTGTTTGCCTTTACCTTCCTCAAATATTAAGTCCATTATTTACTTTCTTAGGGTGAAGAATTTAACACTTATTTTCAACAATCTGCAGAAGGAAGAATTTGCAACTTCTCATCACATTCATGAAGCACAGGGTTATTTTCATTTTGAAAAATCACACAGGCAAAGTATCTTTTATGTGCACTCACGTTACACTATTCTCAGGATAACCTGCTGCTCTGGAACAGATACTGTACCGAGATTCTGAGGAACACCAAGAGTTCCCCAAGCAGAGGCTGAAAGCAACAGGAAGAAGGTATTACTTGGAGGAAGAAGAAAACTGAATGTGAAATGGAAACAATCATTTTTTAAAGTAAAGTTTAAGGTTTGGAATAGAACACTGACACCTGGAAACCCATTCCTTGGCAGAGAAAAAAGAAGCACTATTAAAAGAAAGGAAATTAGCAAAGAAAATGACACAGTATCCTACATGCGTTTCCGGGAAAGCCTACACAATGTATTCCCTGTTAAGTCTCAGGGAAGCTGATCTTTGGTGTCCTTTCAAATCTCCACAAATCATGAATGAATGCCCAAGTTCAACAACTGTATTTCGCCTAACTCCGCTAAAAAGAGAATGAGCACAGCAAAGAGAGTGCTGGGCTCTGAGGCAAGAAGACCTGCATTCAAGGGCCATGCTGACCCAAAGCAAGTCCCCTGACCTCTCAGTACCCTCCAAGCAATTTTCTAAGGATGTAGTTGCAGATCAGTTGCTGACCTGCATGGGGGAGGGAATGCCCTCACTGGGAGTTCTCTGAACCTATGAAATCTCAAGTTGGGACCAAAAACAAAACCAAAAAAGAAGTTGAGAAAAGAAGGAAATTAGAACAAAATTAGGTAAAATAACCTATCCATTCTGGAACATTAAGGTTGTTTAGGGCCAAGTTGACCACAAGATTAAATTGGTTCAAAGAACCTGACCAAAAAAGAAAAAGCAAACTCTTTCCTTTGGCACTCCCTTTATCTCACCCAAATAATCAACATCCCACAATCAGCATATGCAAGCTC